AGCATGATTTTTTTTCAAAGTTCATCATGATGTAGCATGTATCAGAATTTCATAACTTTTCATGGCTGAATAGTATTCTATTGTAGGTATATACCACATTTCGTTTGTCCATTCATCTATTGATGGACACTTGGGTTGTTCTCTCCTTTTGGCTATTGTGAATAATGGTGCTCTGTGAACATTGATGTGCAATTATTTGTTTGAGTCTCTGTTTTTATTTCCTTTGGGAATATACCTAGAAGTGGAATTGCTTAGATCATATGGTAATTCTGTTTAACTTTCTGTGAAACCACTAAACTCTTTTTTACATCACCTCATCTGATTTAAAAATTTACATGGTGGTGTTCTTTTTTAAGAAAAAAAAAATTGGGGGGGCAGCAGGCCACTACAGGGATCCAAATCCTTGACCTTGTTGTTATCAGCTCCATGCTCTAACCAAGTGAGCTAACTGGCCAGCCCTAAGAGAGTATTTTTAATATAAATTCCATTTTTCTATCAGTTAACAGAGGAAAATAGAATGTAGGAAAAAAGATTGGCAACAAAGGAGACAGATAGTCGTATAAAGGAAGAGAAACATTCAGAGGTAAGGAGAAAATATATGTACATTCAAAGATAGAGATGGAAGAGAGTGAGGAAGAGAAAAAAAATCTAGCAGGTTTTAATAACTTGATAATAGGAACATTATTGTGTTGAAAGAGACTGATCTAAGCCAAAATATAACTATGATTGAGAGACCATATATATATATATATAAGTATGATTATTTAGTTATGTTAGAATGACAGGAGTTATGTTGGACTTGTTTCCTTCTGTTTTTCAAACTCTTTGCAATATGACTGTATTATCTATATAATTAAAATAATATGAAGAAATAAAAATATGAATAGGCAAACTTAGTAGCTTGTGTATGTAACAACAAAATGTGCCTAAAATGTGTTCAAACTTTTGCTTATATAGGTCTGGTGTCATTGTTAAAAGGAATGCAGATTCTTGAGTGTGTAGGAATTAATATTAAAGCTTATACTTCACTTTATGTAACAATTACTATGATTTAAATAAAATAATTTCTTTTTTTTTCTTTTTAGCATTGTTACTCCATTAACAATGGATATGTACGCCTGGACTCGAGAACAAGCAGTATTATATGATGGAATAATACTTGCTGCTCTTGGAGTTGAAGCAGTGGTTATTTTCATGGGGGTTAAATTACTTTCCAAAAAGTAAGTTATATGTTTTTGGTTTTGTTTCAAGTTTATTTTTTAAGAATGAAGTATGAAACAGAGCTAACAATGCAGATGAATATGCTAGTAAAATAAATTTAAAGCTTTTCTCTCATTATATACTATAGTCTTTGAAAGTTTGCAAACATTTAAAATTTATTAAGACAGTGTGATATTTCTTTACCCTATGACTTTTTTTTGGTAAAGCAAAACATTCTACAAAGTAAATAATGTATCTTTTGTACATTATGTTTTATTTAAAGTATTTCTAAAAGCATATTTCATAAAAGCATTGTCCTGTTATGTGGTAATATATGTTAAGCAACAAATGGTTAAGTTTGATTCAGTGGTTAAGTTTGGAA